CGCTTTTAGTGTGGCGCACCTCTGTTAACCCCCTCCTTCCCGTCCCCCACCGCCAGGTGCTTTGGCGACAAGAGACGAGACCGCAATGTACCTTTCTCGAATACCCTGGGAGTCGCACGGATCGTGCGACTTTTTTCCAATTACAGTGGACTTGGGGACATTTCAATTCAGAAACCATTTACTTCGAGTTTGAATTCAAGTTAAAATTCTTGCGCAGAGGAAGACTGGTCATGAGAAGATTGTTAAATTACCGAAAGAAAAGAAATATCAGAAGCAGCAACAAGTGGAGAGGAATAGCTCTCCTATCAGTCCCTGGGAAATATATTCTTGGGCTACTCAAAAACTACAACTACTAATCTGAAGCACAGCTCCGTGAACAGCAATGGGTCTGACTGAGACATTGATTTATATATAAATGAACAAAGAATAACATTTTAGTACACAACAATGATTACAGAAACTATTGGATTCTATTAAACACTAATTACTAAGATGCGGAGTTTTGCCTATTTACATAATTTTTCCTTCAATGAAAAAAACACAATATTTAAGGTTACCTTATTTATTTTGGGTCATTAGGAGTATTATATGAAAAGTGTATACTGTGTATAAAATTCTATTTCACAAATAAATGCCTGAATGTTGTATATCCTCGTATTTACTGATCAAAACGCAAAAATCCTTAATGAAAAAATTAAAATATTGAAGTATTTTTCGTTCTTATCTTGCAGATTACAGAGAAATTCAGCAAGTCCCAATAAATCTATTCCGTTTTACTGCCACCAAAGTGCGGGTATTTCGTATTATGAAACACGTGCAAAATCGCTGGTGTTTTTTTACTTCAAATTTTTAAACAATGTTTTACTCGAAAACGGCTCCAAAAGTTTTCTTAAAATTTTCTCCTAGTCAGTATCAAAAGACGGTATAAAAATTAGTGTTTTAGTAGTAGAATTTTTCGCGAATCCCGTATTTTCGAAAATTGCAAAACGTTAACATTGCAAATATAGAACATTTAATGCAGATATTTTTGTCTTCAATATGTTCTACAAAATCATATCTTTAAAAAAAGGCATATTTCAATTTTTCACGGATAGAACAAGAAATACTTAAAAAATAGTAAATGTCTCATTTTCGTTGAATTCGCTGAATTTTTGAAAATTGAAAATTGAAAATTTTGGAATATATTTTTAGATATGGGAGAAAGTATATGTGATGTTGTAAAACCACGAGTTACAGCATTTGTGTAATTCATGGCAATGAAAACGCATCGTTCATATTTCACTTATGTTTAAATTAATGAAATGTGAGAAACATTATCATACTGTGCAGCATTAGGGTATCAGATAGCTTTTAATGAAAAGCAAGAAGGTAGCTACTGAGATTCAGCCTTTTTGTCGGAATTGCCCAACAATGAAACAAAGAGTTTCTACGAGGATTTGCCACAACTGCGATGAAAGCAAACAATCCATGACGGTAACTATATTGTTTACTTCTAAAACTTTCTACACAACATAAATAAGGATACGAAAAATATATAGTGATTTTTTAAATGATTACTTTACACTTTTAAATGACTACTTTTCCACTCTATTTTTACAGTTTTTCGTGCCTATGTATCCGCAATACTAATCAGTATGTAAAAATGTTTTAGGAAAATCTGAAAATGTCCCTTCTGCTTCATGTAAAGTATGCCCAAAAATTAAAAGATTCATTTTTAAATACGAGTAACCCTGACATCAGATGGTGAATGTCCATTTTGGATAAAATCCTCTGAATTGTTTCAGCGCCAGTGTTGTTCAGTTCAGAGGCAGACGGGCAGATCAAGAACGGACAGGTTTTTAAAAAAACTCTTCGTCGCTATCAGCGGCCCTGAAAATGAGTATTTCTGTCAAAATATCAACGTCGATGTTATCGATGTTATTCTATAAAAGTCTGTCGGTGAATATATATATATATATATATATATATATATATATATATATATATATATATTTATATTCACCGACAGACTTACTACTCTGCCAGTATATGCGTGCATATCTGTGAGAAACACTAGCGTCTAAGTCGTTTTACCAATTTACAGACTTTACAAATAAGGGCTATTCTCTAAACTAAAAATATTGATTTTAGAGTGATCTTTTAATTTCCGAGGGTATTTTACTTGAAGTACCTATACAATTTTCATAATTTTCTTATAAATTCCTCCTATTTATTTATTAATTATCTCAAATAGAGCAAAGAGCGCTTAATAATATGCCATCTCGGAAATTTCGAAGGTTGCAAAGGTTCAATTCTTATTCGAATCTCTTATGTATCTTCATTGCTGAAGCTATAGATTCCTTTCTTGGTACAATCT